AAAAAAAAAAAAAAAAAAAAAAAAAAAAGGTCTTAAAAAATAACAACCAAAATTCTAACATTTGAAAACATGAGGTGATTTTTATTGGTTTTTCTTTTCTTCTCTTTTCAGCACCATGAACCATCAAGATTTCAGAGGAAACCCAAGTCTACCTCTGGACTCTAACTGTACTTAAATTCAAAACTTTAAAAATCCTGCAGTGTGATGTTAAAGTGCTAAATTTTAGCTTTCTCTCTTTTTTTAATCTGTTGATGTGACCTTGGCTAAATGGCTTAACTTTTTTTCAGAACTAAATTAAATTTATTCTAAGATTTTCTGTCTCTAAACTCTGTAATTCTCTTAATTGAATAAGTATGAAAATAATTTAAACAAAATCTTTAAGAAAAAAAATCTCACAGTGGCTAATGCCTATAATTCTAGCCCTTTAAACGCTAAGGCAGAATGCTTACTTCATCCCAGCATAGGAGTTTGAGCCCAGCTGCATATACACAGCAAGATCTTGTCTTGGAGGAAACTCCAACATCCCCAAACTCAAATAACAATTGAAAAAAATTCCCAGGAGTAGGGGGTGCATTAACCAAAACCAAGGATGCATGAAAAAGACACAGAAACGGATTGTTATGTAAGATAATTAAAAAATATATAATTTTAAAATTCTTAAATTTCAAATTCTATCTGAATTAGCAATATAAAACACAGATTTTAGTATAACCACATATTTGTACTTTGTGAATAAATTTTTTCTTACAGTAGCATACAGAGATATGCATAAGTCTCAGATGCTCCTTTGCCACCAAGTGAACATACTGCTGCTGCCTTGTCAAATAATAAAATATTTTCAGTGCCCTGAAGTCTTCTCTGCTAGTGCTACCTTTTGTGAAGGTCATAAATTAATTTTCTCATTGTTTGAGCTTCACTTAACTCGTACAGTGTGTATTATTTTCCACCCCGTGTCTTCTTTAACATTGATCTTTATGAGGACCATCACTGTTCATACATAATTTCTAACTGTTTGAGTCATAGTCTGCTGTATGATTTCAGTACAACCATACAGTGTATGATGGACTGTTTCCAGTTTTTTCACTATTATGAACTATCCAGCTACAAAGAATTTTGTAGGCCGGGCGTTGGTGGCGCACGCCTTTAATCCCAGCACTCGGGAGGCAGAGGCAGGCGGATCTCTGTGAGTTCGAGGCCAGCCTGGGCTACCAAGTGAGTTCCAGGAAAGGCGCAAAGCTACACAAAGAAACCCTGTCTCAAAAAACCAAAAAAAAAAATTTGTATATTTTACATATATGCACTGGGATTATGCTTAGGAATAGAAAATAATCCTAATAGATTTTCCAGAGCATCTGAATCACTTTATCCTCTCTTTTGCTTAGATAGTATAATTAGATCATACTCTTTATGTCTGTTACAGTGAAATGACTTCCAATGTAAAGCATTTGAAGAAGAAATAAATATATAGATACATTAGTTTCATAATATCCATTTTTTAAAAAAACATTTTTAATTATGTGTATTTTGGTGTATGTGTGGGTATGTGCACATGAATGCAGGTATTGGTGGATCCCCTGGAGCTGGAGTTACAAGATGGTTGTGAACCACCTGATCTGAGTGCTGGAAATTGAACTTGTGTCTTCTGCAAGAGCAGTATATGCTCTTAACTGCTGACCCATCTCTCCAGCATCCTGGTTTTGAAAATGTTGTAATGTTCTTTTTGGCTAACTAGATCTTTGGAATCCCTTGCAAATATAATTTGATAAGTAGGAAAGGAGCTAATTTATTCTCTCAGAGAACTGAGTTATTAGAAAAAAAACAAGACTTCAAAATCATAAACTATTGTTTTGATATTATTTGCTTTCTTGGCAGAATAATTTTTGTTTTCTGAGACAGGGTTTCACTATGTAACAGCCTTAGCTTCATGGAACTCACTCTGTAGACCATGCTACCCTCAAACTCACAGATATCCAACTGCCTCTGCCTCCTGAGTGCTGAGATAAAAGCAAGTGCCACCACTGCCTGGCTCAGAATAATATATTATTTCCCTTAATTGTTAGAGCTTTCTTGAATGTATAGTATTTTCTACTTTCAGCAAAGAGATACATATTCATATAAATAAAGAAATATAAAAGCAAATCTTTTTAAAAAGTAAAATAAAAAGAAACAGGTAAAATTAATGTTAATGTGTTTTTAGAAGACCCAATATTCCTAAAATAGTAGAAGTGAATATAATAATCATAATCACACGTAATCATAATAAATATAGCTAGTGAGATATCCTCTTTTCTTCAGCAATCTGGTGTGTATTTTAATATTAAAGCACATCTCAGTCAGTGGTAATCACATTTCCAGTAACCAAAAGTTTCAGGTGGCTGATGGTTACCGTATTTGACAGCAGAGATTTGGGCTTCCCATGGTAGAACAGGGAGTGCTCCTCGCTGTACAAGGTAGCTGTGACTTACTGCTAAGCATGCTTTTAGCAACATTCCATCAAAGAGAACTCGAACAATGGGCAGTTAGTTTTACATAGGATTTTGAATTTCTAGAATGAGCAGGAAAGTGCTCTGGACTCTACAACTAAATTTAATGTTTTGAAACTTTTCCAACAGGGCTATCATGACAGATTCTGAATGACAACTTTCAACTTAGAGCTTTCAAGAAGTCCAGAATATTTCAAAGGAATCTGTGTATTGGAATGAGCAATAGCAAGATCCATGTCTGGCGGGCAGAAATACCAAAAGAAAATTAAGAGATATAACATGCAGAGCTGCTGGTAAGTAAACCATGAAAGCATATAGAAAACCATAAATATTTTATGGGGGAAAACAATGGACTTGACAAAAAGGACTTGGAAATTTAGTAATCATGAGATAATTGAGAAATCAGTCAAATACAAAGGTTCATGGAAGCAATATTTTTTTCTAGAGCAACTGTATACAATTAACTTTCTTGTTCACTTAGAAAACCTACATAAACTTGTTAGAACTATAGTATAGATGAAATAGTTACTGTTTTTAGAAATTAATACTATTACAGTGCTAAAAATAAAAGTTTATATTCTTATTGCTTTTTAAAAGTTTACTTTATTCTCAAAAATCCAAAAAAATCTTGTTTTATGTGTATGAGTATTTTGCTTGCATACATGTATTAAGCATTACATGTATGCGTAGTGTCCACTGAGATCAGGAGAGGCTGTCAGATTCCTTGACTCTAGAGTTACAGACAGTTGTGAGCTGCCATGGGGGTGCTGGGAGTCAAACCTGGTCCTCTACATGAGCAACTCCTATTTTATTCTTCCTTCCTCCCTCCCTTCCATCCTTCCTTTTTCCTCCCCTCTTCCTCCACTGTGCTGTCCATAGCATAGCCTGATCTCAAACTCTGGGCAATCCTTGTGCCTCAGCATCTTGAGTACTGAAATTACAAGCATCAGTTATCATTGCTTACTTTAAAAGTTGTACACATTTTACATTTTGTTTCCATTTTAGAGAGTTAAACTGCCTATCAGGAAAACATAGGTACATTATTAGGGACAAAATGTGATTTCCTCAAGAAGTTTACTTTAAGGATATTGGAGATAATGGAAATGAAACAATGAGATGGCTCTTGAGTTTTTGGTTTGAACAATAGACAGAATAGACAATTAGTCAAACTTGAAGTTCATATTAGTTAACACATGGAATTGATAACCAGTAAGTCAGTACTTCAATCAGATAACAACACTTTATCTTATAGGATATTTACTTTTATATTTTTTCCAAAAGTGTTGCTATTCTTAGGGGCAAGGGAGTGAGTAGTCTAAACAAGAGTGTATTAAAGCTGAGAGAGTGGATGAAATTACCCAGGAAACAAGAGCTGTCTCAGAAGGCCCTGGCCTGCCTTGCAGGAGCATTAGGACTTACAGTTAGAGAGAAGAGACAGGTTCAGTGCGGCTGAGAGGTAACAGCTCTAGGTGAGGATGGAGTAAGCCAAGGGAGTGCAGTCTTTGGAGCCTAAGAGAGGTCAGCAGTCAAGAAGCAAGCATTTGTGCTGACACTGAATGCTGCTAAGTCGCTAGACAGTAGAGACTTGGCCATTGGATTTGGCAGCATCTGGTTTGAATTCTGACTCTCTGCTGCTTACTAGTTGTATAACAGGCAACACTTCATTTTAAGTCACTGTGCCCTGGTTTTCTCATCTTCAGCAAAAGGGATAACTACTTCCCACACATTCTTGTGAGGATTAATGAGCTGTTCACTGGAACTGTCTGACAAATATAGGATGCTTGGTTGATACTAGTTCCTTTCTATTCTAGCTTTGAGATGCTCTTTGAAACTGAACTGATTGTGCATAGCCAACAGTGGAAGATATTAAATTGTTTCTGAAAATTCCATTTTGTGGAAAGCTATGAGATAGAAAATGCTGGAGCAAAGCATGTAGCTCAAGGGAGCACTTGCCTAGCAGCTTTATACCACAACAAAAAGTATGCAAAAAGTCCAGAACTAAACTACATTTATAAATTCTTCTTAAGTTAATTTTAAAATTAGCATGCCAAGTGATAGGTACCCCCCCCCCCACACAAAGTATTCAAACAGTTTTTTGTTTTGTCTTTTTGAGAAAGGGTTAATCTGTGTAGTTTTGGTGCCTGTCCTGGAACTCACTCTGTAGACCAGGCTAGCCTCGAACTAACAGAGATATGCCTGGCTCTGCCTCCCGAGTGCTGGGGTTAAAGGTGTGTGCCACCACCACCTGGCTTCAAAGAATTTTTATAGGAGAAAAATACAGCATTTGGACTGAGTACGGTTGCATTTGCCCACATGTGATTGGGAGGCAGAGTTAGGAGGATCCTGAGTCCAAGGTCAGTCTGAATTATATAGTGAGACCCTACCTCAACAAAACAAAACCAGACAGATGAAAAAATTGGGAGACCAGCAAGATAACTCAGCAGGTAAAGGTATGTGCCACCAAGTGTGACAAGTTCAGTATGATCCCTGGGATTTACAAGGTAGAAGGAGAGAACTGACTCCTGAAAGTTGTTCTCTGACTCCACACATGCAGGGTGGCACATGTGTTTGGGCGTGAATGCACATGCGTATACATATACTTGATGAATGATGACCACAAACTTACATAAGTAAAATATCATTTGCAAGTAAATTAAATGTAGATTGTAAGTGAACTCTACAGCAACTGAGGTTTTGATTGCACTCTCCAGAGGAAACAGATGACAGTGAGTGATGGCACGTGGAGGAGGAGTATAATGTGTTCTGGTTTTGGAGAGTACATGCTTCTTCCTGTACTATTGTCTTCTGACTTATTCTTCCTCCTTTTGGAGACTCATTAGTATTATTGTTGTTGTTTTTAATATAATTTTGGTTTTTAGAGACAGGGTTTCTCTGTGTTGCCCTCGCTGTCCTGGAACTCGCTCTGTAGACCAGGCTGGCCTAGAACTCATAGAAATCCACCTGCCTTTGCCTCCTGAGTTCTGGGATTAAAGGCAAGCGACATCACTGCCTGGCTTGGAGACTCACTATTGTCTTGCCTTCATTTGAACTTAAAATCTAGTCCAGAAAACTGATTTTAGATTTTGTCAAGGTGTTGTCTCTTCATTTCCTATCAACAATGGAAAACATTTGGGAGTAATTTCAACATGAAATACGACATGACTGTTTTTCATATGAGAATCTCTTGCTAGAAACTGTGTTAAGACTATTGGTGTGTGTTTTGGCTGAAAGTGATGTCAAAACATTAGGCTGTATATATATATATTTGTGTGTGTGTTGTTTGCAAAATAGCTATTATTCTGGAAGGGATGAGATCATCTGATAAAAACTTCTGCAGGGCCGTTTTAAGTTAGTAAGTTGTTATCTAGTTTACTGTCTAATGTACTGATCATATGCTCCATACATAACTATACTAGACTGTTCTAGATTAAATTATAAATTAATGCATAGTACCTAGCAGGCAATTAGGTAATTCTTAACTTTAAAGAATATAATAAAAAAAAGCCATTTATTAACATAAGAACAAAACACAGTGGGACACTTCTTGAGGCTAGTGGAGGAAACCCATGGCTAGGTCAGACTAGAAACTTGCAGAACCTATTTAACAGTGATGGGAGTTGCTTCTGCTGAACACAGATTTTCTATCAGCATTTCTGAAAAGTGAGAATGCCCAGTTTCCTGATAACCCTTTGATCCCTTATCTTGTAATGTCTGCTTCTAATGGTAGGTTATTGTCAAATACTATGGGCATAGAAATAAGTGTGTTGGTAAGGTTTAGGCAGAATTAGAAAAAAAACCATTTATTCTCTCCCTCTCTCCTTCAATAGAACAAAGCATAATATATCTATTATAGACAAGAAAGAACCAGATTAAACCTGTAGGGTTTTTAAATTTTTATTTTTAGTTTTTAACTGTGTATGTGTATGTGTGTGGACGTGTATGTACATGTGACCTCTGAGACCAGAAGAAGGTATCAGATCCCCTGGAGTTGGAGTTAAAGGCATTTGTGAGTTGCTGGGTGCTAGTAGTTGCACTCAGGTCCTAGAATTGCAATGCTCCTATGGTCTATGGGTAGGGATACAGATGCACCAGGGAGTTATTGTGCATATAGGTTGAGTGTCCACTTTCTGCAGAGATTATAAATATAAGGTGCATATATTTTCTGGCAAAACTATGAATTTCCTGCATAAACACTCGGCTTAGATAGTAGAGTGATAAGTTACTAAAGTCTCTCTGTGCCTTAGGTGTCTGTGTCTAACTTCTATGGGCATGATACTTTTTAAAGCAAACGTATCTGGTAAATTACTTATATCCCCTTTCAAAACTATGAAGTTTTTATCTGGCATGTGGTTGTTTTTACTAGTTACTGTTGGATAGACTTTGGTCGCAGAGAAGCAGTCTGTGCATATTGAAAACCAGCCCAGAAGACTTTCAGGTGACTGTTACTGAGGTTGATTCTGATTCTGATCATTTTCTTTTTGTCGTGATATCAAATTCAGTCCCCAGTTTAGCTGCCACCCACTTATGGGCTTGTAGCCCTCTCCTAAACCTGAAAAAGTACACTGAGATGAACTCAGGGGCATTCTGTACTTTGCTGAAAGTAATTCTGTGTGTCTTACTTCAATTTATTTACTTTTTTCTGCAGAATTACTGTAAAGGTTTTCTATTTCACTCATTACAGCACAGTGTTTTTCACATTTGAATAGACTACATCGACATGAATTCTTTATAAGGACCTTAAAACAAACTTTGCCAAGTCCCAGAATACAGAAGTGAATTCACATCCCAGTACTCAGCCGCCTCAGGAATAAAGGAGAGCTTGTGCCTGACACTTTGAAGCTGTAGCTGTTAAACCATACAGAATATTTACCTCAATAAATCATTATAAGAAAATAAGGTACAATTATGCCCACAGAGAAAGAGAACTCAAAACACCGATTTATGTGTTTCAGTGCTGCTGCCTCTCCCAGCACGTTTTGAATTTCAGACATGTTTGTCATCTTTGGCTGCTCCTTGTATCTTTAAACTAATGGCTTCTCCTTGTTTTTTATTTTATTTTTCACATTCCTCATTAAGTTTGTTATTTTCCTTTGACACCTAGACATGATTTGAATAATATACTAAGTTTCACATTTAAAACAAACTGTATTGCTTTTCTTAGGGTTAAACAAAAAATTAGAAAGAATTGCTAATTTATTTTAAATAAAATAAAGTCTTACTTAATTTGTGACATATGAACTAGAATTCTGTGTGAAGGATTTTATTTGGCATCATTTTGAAGTAATCCTGAAAA